GAGTGTATTTTTTAAAATCTGAAACATTTAATCCACCAACTTTGGCAGCAATCCAGGTCAGTTAGGCATTTTAGTAATTTGAAGATGTTATGGTGACCCTGCCCGCTCATTAAGTTGAACAGATGCTTGACTTGTGTATTTGTCTGGTTGGAATGTATGCTTCACATCTGTAGCATACTGTCTCCTTCACAGTTAATTTCTCTTTTCATAAAATATCCTGTGACACACCCTCTATCTCCCATTCATCTATTGTCCATTCTCTTTACCTTTTAGTCTTCACTGGGAAAAGTCAGAGGTGACAGAGGGCTACTAGGGTCAGTCAGTTGAGCTTCAAGTTATTCCTCGTCCCCCCTAACTGCCACCACTCCACCTTCGCCTTCTTCTGCCCATCTCTTCTTCTGCCTCCAGGCTGCAGCTGCATTCAGCCCTATCCTGCCTGGGAAACCCCTTGAGCCAGAAGAATCTATGTGCGGAGAGACCCCACAACTCCCAGAATCTGGCCAGGTCCCTCCAAATTTGATGAAGAGAAGCTCTTTTACAACTTACAGTTATATAGGCACATTCTAGTTTCTCTGCCTAAAATCAATTGTTTGTTTTTAACAAAGAAACATCCACTGCTGTTTAGACCACAGTGTGAGGTCGCAGAACTTGAAAGAAACATAAACAATAAACCGGAATGATTGATTGGTATTGTTCTGTTTGAGAGAAATATAAAGACAGAAGAAAGAGAAAATGATGGACTCAGAAATAATTTGTAAAATCAACCATTCTACTAGTGCTATTAATACCGCAAAATAATCTGACAGTAAATATCTAATTTCAACACTATTTCTTTTTCATCTAATTCTTTTCAGATCATGATGAAAACATTCTTGAGCATTGACATGGGTGTTGGTGTTCTTAGCTAGTAAAACAGCTACTGCATTTTACCTAAGAAACGATGAATGGATCACTGGGATCCATCCTTTCATGAAGTAAAGAAGCTGGTGAAGATATTCTGATTCAAGTCCATGATACAAATTGGCTTTGGAGCACCAAACCCTGGATTCAGACCAGAGTTTCCCCAGATCTCAAAGATTTAACACTGAAGTGCAGTAAAGGTTCATTTGTGCTATTAATGTTTATGCAGTATAGTATTTTGCTGTTAACATTAAATAGGATTATTTTTCTTTCTCTCGCCAAGTTTCATCCTGACTTTGAGATAACTCTTAATTCTAGAAAAAAAATAAAAACAGGATTTATCTGCAATATTGCCTTGATAGGGACAAGACAGACTGCACTATTCATTTCATGGAACAGACTTAAAGACCGATCATCAGAGCTCACTGATTGACTGGTGTCAGCACAGACCATAGGAGGTCAAAACTACACCTGTGAGAACTTTATGCCTTCCTGCAGAAGCCTGCCCTAGATCATACTTAGCTTTCTGAGAAGGTTAAGGGCTTGTCATGAAAATAAAAACACAGTTCATGTTGAACTAATTTTTCTTCAGAATGTCTCTGCGTTTGAAGGACAGTGTCTGGCCATCATCACCTTCAACTATTCCTAACCCCAGACCTATGAAACATCCTTCACAGATGCCAGTAGTCATGGCTTCATCATTACTTTAAATGAACTTAGTCTTTGAATAAACTGTAACCCAAACTAGCAGGTTCTAAGCCATGTAAAATACCATGATCACTCCTGTTAAATCCAGCATGCAGCATTTCCACAGGAAAATTAGACATCACAAGAGAAATCACTTTCAGATTCTAAAGAGGGATATCAGATAGCAAAGAGACATTTAAGAAAGAACCTTATCACTAGGTAAACACTGTTAACTAAATATAACATACTGACATGGAATATACTGCGGGAAAAGCCGGTATTAACAGTTGCCAAACATTTGTAAAAAATTACATAAATATTTACCTTTTGTGGAAGAGTTAAAATTTTCTTGTTCTTCAATGAATTAAATGCACGGAATGATGGAAACAGAAAAAGAAATCAGCAAATTCAAAGTTAGATAAAGGAATGTGTTACATGTGACAATGGCATGTACAGTAGGCATACTACGGCATATGTAAAAGTAATGTAGAAAATTAAAATGATAAACCATGACAAATAATAAGGCCTATGACTTCTTCTTTAAAATTAATAGGAACAATGAAGTCACTAAGATCCAGATTGTGGATTCTTTAAGTATTCTGCTACAGTAAGTAGTCAACCCTAAATTTATGAACGATATAAAATCATTACATTTGTTTAAGTATCTTTCTAATTTCTGAATCATATAGCCCTATTTTATGTTTTGAAGCCTTTTTCTGCAACGATGAGTTGTACATATGCACTTTCTGTTAACTGAGATCTCTGATACTCAATCACTTCACTATTGAAAATGGATCTTTAAGGAGAACATAAAACATTATGAGGCTTGAATGAATTTGCAAGAGTTAGCAGTGCTGAGAGAAAATACTCTTCAGTTCCTTGAAATTCTTGAATTACAAATTCTTGCGCAAAGATTCCACAAGCTGCCTCAGAATATGCAGTGCCACCTAATAATTTCAAAATAAAACCAGAAAGATGAAGACAGAAAAACCAATACTAAAAGACTAAAATCTACAATTGAAATGTCTTACGCTTTTCCTTTGGCATCTCAAGTTTTATACTGATTGAGCTGGAAAAAGTTTTTAAATGAAAGGGTCTGATCTTTTACCATTACTCAAGCAGAACTCTCACTGGCTGCAGTGAGACTTCAATGATCAAGAGCAAATACATAAAACTGTTTTCTCTAACTATTCATATTTTAGGTTCTTAAGTTGATTAACAATAAAAAGATACTTGCAACTCAAACGTATTATTTAATAACATACTGTTTTTCATATGAAATTCAGATTCTTGTTTGTTAAAAGGAAACTGAACATCCACACGCTTCATCCCTCTGTGTTGTGACTATCGTTAGAGATTTGTATATAAATTTACATACCTATACATGAACTTTATAAAAGTAATCACCATTCAGTACCAGCACAGTCTTCAAAGCAGCTTTCCCTCATGAGACAGCAAAACACACACACACGCACGCACACACACGCACACGCACTTCAGCCAGGATACAAGCTATGTACAAGACTCGTGTAGTTTTTTTCTAACTTGGGTTGAGATACTGCAACACTTAATGCAGGTAAAATTCTCTGTTTCTCTGGTCACACTTCCACTTCTTTAATGGCCACTGCATAAGGCTTATTGCTGTTTATGTCACTGTAAACAGATACAAAAACACTAGTTCAATCATGTTTACAGATGCTCTTTAGATGTAAATAGGCGGCTGATTATCACAATCCTTATTGTCATTATAGGACTTCTGAAACATGAAACCACATTTCTGAGTCTATGAAAAACAACTGTCCTGCAAAGAGTCATATAAAAGCAGACATAGGCAGAATGACATGTTTTGCCTGAATTAGCTCTGAAAGATCATTTCCAGAAAACCAACAAACGTCATACATTTATCTTGCCGGTTCATAAATTTCAATAGTACATAATATAGCTTTTCTTACTCACTTGTTTGATTTCTGCCCTAATATTATTTACTGCAACTAACAAGCAGTGCAGAAAAATGCTACAGATCTTCAGTCTGTATTCATTTTCTTGATCAGTAAGATGGTTAACTACTGTACAAAAAGTGCATAGACGCACCCTAAAATCCTATTCAAGCAAGAATTCCTGAGAAGTTCCATAGTTGCTATGACAGAGAATGGACTGAGTAAAGATTGCAGAAATACGCTTTATGCAAAAGTACCATCCAAACAACATGACACCACACAACAAAATTGTTAGATAAATAGCACGAAAAACAAAGTTAACGCAGAATCCCCACCCCTGTTAACTTTCATCCATGATTTTCACAGCTCCGTTCAGACGTTATATAAATAACAAACACTGATGCAAATCTCTTGCAATTCAGTACAAGATGACATATTGAGAACACAGCATTGTCCTTACCATGGCTTAGAAATGCACTGCTTTAGTAACTGAGTGAAAATACCTTATTATTAGGTCCTTTTATAAAATTGTCAGAAAAAAGAAAGAAATAACCAACGCTTCTTAAGTAAAGTAAGTTAAGCTAATGACTGCTGAATTGTGACTAACTGAAAACAGACGCAGCCATACCTATATGGACTAATTTTCATAATCAAGCATCTCAGGACCTGATTTAAGATCTCTGTGCATCTTGGAGTCTGCGAACAACTGCTGATGAGGTTGCACTGGAAACAGATACAGCCATGCCTTCCTTGAATTATCATTGTAATTAAATTAAAAATCCTCTTACTTAATAGAAGCTTATAATCTTAACTCTAACTGCTTAAAAAAGTCTTTATGTACTGGACTTGCTAAAACATTACATAAATTTTAACAACTTCCAAGTGAAAATATCTAGCATTTATTTTTTTCTTCCAAAGTAGCCTGAGTAGCTGTCCCCTTCAGAGCACAATCTCCAAGAACTTTTTTTTTCGTTTTTTAATTACGCCATTCTGAGATTTAGTGAAAAGATTAAAATGGATTTTTTGCTTAACATTTATGGTTCTTCTCTGTTCCTGATCAGCAGCACCTTCCTCCTCTCTGGGATGGAACAAGGACCAATAATTTGGTTTTCTCTGCAAGATTTTGAGATTTTTTATAAAATATTTCTTATAAGGACTTTTAAAAACTATGTTGTTTTCTTACAAGTTGACTTTTTATGATCCTCAAACTGTTGACCAGAGCAGCAACTAATCAGACAAGACCCGGTACAGACAATGAAACAACCCTTTTTTTTAGTTCTAAATTTGGTAATGACGAAACGGAATGTCTAATATACAATGTCAGTCCTAGAAGAAGCCTTATATTAGCATGGATATTATCATTTATAACGGAAGATTGAGCGTTATAGTTTCACTCTGTTTCTCAAGACAAAACTACTAAGAGCTGCTTGCTGCTTCATTAACTCTTACTTTTTCAAAATGTGAGCTTTAAAGAGTAATAAAATTGCATTAATAGATTCTTCTATGCCTCCTGAATATGCAAATAGCAGAGGAAAAGAACTCTCCTGATGTAACAAAATTCAATCTTTTTACAACAATTCCTACGATCTGTAAAACAGATTTAGATTCACAGATGTATTTATTCAGATGTGTGCTGTTCCCTCCTGACACAAGAGAATTTGTATAGAGTGTAAAACCTAAAGAATTCTTTTAATACAAAAATGATAACTCACAGTATATTATACAGAAGTCCCTTGAAACACAAGATGTCCCTTGAAACACAGGATGTGTCACAATTGAATAGCTTTGCTTACAAATGAGGGAAACAAATTTTGAAATGCTACTCCCTATAAGATCCGTAGCTTGCACTAGATTTTAATATCATGTATCTCCACAGTGACTGTGAACTTCAAACAGTAAGAACACAGTTCGGTTCCAAACACAGTTAATGGAAGGTTTTCCACTGATTTCAATATGCTCTCGATTCAATTTTACATTAGGGACAAATGCCAGTCACTCCATTTGACCCTGATACTGAATTGCCAAGGAGTAAAGAGGTGAAATAATAGATGTCAAAATCTGATACATTTATTCAGAGCAAATATTATGGTTTTATAGCCTCACTGAATTTACTTTCTTACAGAAGTTTATTCATACTATCATAAGTATTTCAGAAGATATTAACAAGAACAACAAAATAGTATCATTTTATGAAATTCTATTAAACTTAGTCCTCATCTGCAAATATAGTCTCAGCTTGAACAAACTGTTAAACATGAAAAACATCAGAAAATCTCTCTTTCAGAATGACAAGTCAGTGACTTAGACAAAAACAAAGTAGAATGCAGAGAAAGAAATCTTTTTAGTCTTAGATTGCATTTGCAGTAATACAGCTAAACTGACATAGGGGGTATAATGCACAACAGTGAGGTAAAGGATAAGTAGCTCCTCCTTGTACATTTTATACATGTCGCAGGCGCATCTATCACAGGTATTAATATGTATTCAATGAAACAGCATTACTTCAGGGTTGTTCGCAGTATCAACAGCTTTCTAAACTTACAACAGCTTTAGCCTTCTGTTTAACTTTCGATTTTTTTTTTTTGCTCTTCTGTATAAATACAACCCACCTCTAGTCATTTTCATGGCATTTTATTCACAACATACTAGTTACTCAAAATAGGAGAAAGATGATAGATGAATACCCAAAGGAAAGCGAAATTAAAATTAAATTAAAAGCTAATTTACCATTATATATTCTACCAAGTTCTGGAATTGCAAAGAAATATGAAACAAACATGAATTCATCTCTCATCATGTTTCCCTAAAAAACTCCCAACTTGCTAATAGGTAAAAACAGAAGCCGTAAATTTAGTTTGTTTATAATCCAGAGAGTCCTTAGTTCATTAGGAAACAAAAGCAGAACACTCAAATATAAAGTTTAAACTGAGTAAGAACCACTTGTACTAGTACATTAATCATTCAGAATAAACATGTATTAAACAAGAAAACATTTCTGATACATGTTAATTGAAAGTGTAGTATGCCACCACAGTTCAAAGCCACAAAATTAGTGTAAGCTGACTGTATGTCAACGTAAACCATTGCGCATCATATAAAAAAGCTATGGTACTCTAACTTCAGCGTTATGTATTCAAGAAAGAGGTCCATTAACTGTTGCAGAAGCGCTACAATATAGTAACATTAGAAGCATTCCTTTCATTTCCATGTTGAAGAAAACCTTGTAGTATACCACAATCTGAGTTGTTACTTGCAGTCAATGAGAAAACAGACTTTCAAAGACATAAAACAACCTAAATGTAACATATTACCCACTGTGAAATTAAAATTAATTTTACAGCCATTTCATTTTACCATAATAGCTCATACTCTGTGTGCAACTTGTTGCTAGAAAAGGAAAGAGCAATATTCATGCTCATTTGATATTTGTATGCAAAAAACATCTTCCACAACCACTAGGCCTACGTTGTTCTTTCCAAAAAAGACCAGTTCTCCTTCCTGACCCGTTTATTTTTGTGAATGTAACAGCAGATGACCTATGCTTTCACATTTCTCATGCTGATTGTTCTCATTCTTTTACTCACTGGACCAATGTCTCATTCCAGAGGAAAAAATAAATAAATAATAAACAAATATATATATGTCAGCAATGAACAACAATTAATATAAATGAGGAAATAAGAAATGAATAACACTGTTCTGTTGCCAAATTTTGTCCTTTCATTTCTTTAACTGAACACAAACTAAATATGTGTTCATGGATAAGTGTGAATGGAAACTATAATGACTCGAATAGAATTTTTGAAGTGGACAGACAAAAAAGCATACTAGAAAATTAAGGCAATTATATCATGTGTAATAAGCTAGTCAAACTCTGCTGGACTTTCCAGATTAGAAAAAGGCTTTCAGTCTCTTCTATTGCTTTATGGGTAGAAATAGAGCATTGAATACCTAGTTACAAAAGCAGACTTTAAGTAAAGCAAAGAAAGGTAAGAAATCAAAGAGTCTGAGCTATGATAAGCTCATTATTTGATACCTTGCTCTATACTGCCACTTCTTACTGGAACTTGCGGGAGCTGTCTTCCCCTGCGACTGCTGAAGGATGTGTCTGCAGGAGGAGACTGTGAGGGACTTCCTTGTTGATGTATTCTGCAGATGAAATGAAGATAAAAATAAAATAACCAAAATGAAGAGAACTTACATATTCTGAGTGCTAAACACACATTCAGTTGCATATACAGAAGATGGGTTTGAAGTAGTTAGTTAGTATCTGGTGTATGCCATACGCGCATACTGAGGTCTGGATACCTAGTGAATTTATATGGTTTTATCTTTAGTTTCTCTAACTACCTTCAACTCAGGAGAAATAGTTTCAGTCTTTTTTTTTCTCTGAGAAAGTACTAGTCAAAACCCACTGAACTGTAAGCAGTTTTCTAAGAACCATTTGTGATTACAAACCACAATTCTAAGAGTATGATTGTTCTGCTGCACTGGTATAAAGACGGTACAAAATGCCACCTGTATGTTTTATTAACATTTGTGTTCCCTTTGTGCTGATGCAATAATTATATGAAGCCACAGAGAATGGGACTGCAAGCATCTAACGCCATGGGATAATGTGTTTTTTTTTTTTCCTGAACTTCAACAACAAAAAAATCCTTTACTAATGTTGGTATTGCTTGCGTGCGAGCGTGTGTCTGCACATACACAGTACAAAATGGAACACGCGAAGAACAACGTGCAAGACTTTTCATACCCCCACCTAAATAAATATTTTAATCCCATTAACTTTGGCTGAATTCTAGCTAGTATTACTTCAGAGCACCTTGGCTACTTGGTTTCTTACAGATGTACTGAGTATCTGAGTCTAACACATTACACATCTTTGGAACGCTGGTAAGTTTGCAAGGCAGACCACCTCTACCAACTAGGGGAAAAAAAAGTAAAGGTGAGAAGATGCTGACCGCTCAGAGGGAGAGCTTACCTTCAAATTTCCTTGCCAGTTACAGTAATGTTACACTCATCATAGTGGGTAGGCACTGTTTATCTACTGCACTAAAGTTGCAAGTGGATAATTTGTCAACCATTTGCAATTTCAAGCAAAACATTTCTACGTATTCAAAATACTGTTAGCGTTCATAATACGTAGATCAACTGATCTCTTAGCCTGCGGGATGAGAGTTAGCCGTGTGAATAGCATGTCATTTCCTGCACAGTGTTTAAGCAAAATGCTTTGATATTTTTCATATGGATACAAAACAAAACACAACAATGGAAGGACAAAGCACAGTCAAATTTTTACTCTTACACTGCGTAACTATTTAAATTCAGCAGTAAAAAGTACCATCTGGATGGTGAAGCTAGGTGGAGTAAAGGATATGGGGGAAGTGTAAATACCATGAAAAGAGGATAATCTACAGTGCCAGAATGAGTGAATGCGCCATGTATGCTCAGGAAAGTACAACACCACACTGACACCTGGGAGGCAGAACATGAAAGCTGGGCTGTACATGTAATAGCAACCTTGTCAGAAGTGGAGAAGGTGGCGCCGACCCTCCGGGCGCTAGGTGATGTACAGAGCATAATGGTCTGATACTAGAGTGCTCACTCGACCTCGAGCGAGTGTGATGTTTCCCCCTAATGACTGGCTGTTCAGCTGTTCGTGGGGTTGGAAGTCCCCTTCTAGAAAGACATGGTAGCAGACCCCTAAAACATCAGGGCCAAAAAGAAACTGTTCAGTTGTTAGCTCCAGGCACACTCCCCCATGCCCCCCTCCACCAAAGAACATTACGGATCCCAGCTGCAGGACCAGTATTGACATTTCAAACTGAAGTCATTAATTCAGATTACAAATCCGTTTTCAGAACGACAAACTGCAGAACACTCACAACTGCACACACACATGACCCTAATTGTGGAGCTGATAAACTGCACTGATAAACTGCACTTGGCCAAAAACTTCAGCTGCCTCTTAAACACAGCAAACAGGCTAACACACATCATAGAAAAGCGCTACCAGAGAGTAGGCTTGAATACCTAGTTTTAACACAACACATTTCTGTTTTCAAAGTACATGTTTTATTTCTATTAAAAATGTTAACTAGATTCCAATTAATGTCCTAAAAAAGGACCCTATGTAAGCATATATATGGTCGCCCTAGGAGCTTGAAATAAGGCACGTATTTCAGTATCTTTCTGCAGTAAGCCCTAACACAGAAATACAGTTCTGAAGGATCACTAATGAAAACATCATTAACATATGCAGTAAAATGATTAATTGTGTTAGAATAATAAAACATAATGATTAGCAGTTTAATAATCGCATATATTGTACATGTAAGATAACCTGAAACATTACAGGTTTAGCGAGTGATAAGGTAAATCTAGCACCTGGTGTTAGAGCTTTTGTTTCCTTCTAACTATCATAACAACAGAACAATGCACTCCCCAAGCTTTCTAGGTGTGCACTACCATTTTTTTAAAAAGATACCAAAAAACTTTTCCGTTTATTTTTCATAATTGAAAACTTCTTCACTTCTTTTAAAACTAATTTTCTACTTCAAACTATTTAAATAACCATTATCAGAACTAGTTGCTATCTCTTTTACACTCAGTCATACCGTTGGTTCAGTTAAGACATCGTTCTCGAAATAGCTGTCCTCTCACTTGGTCCTCAATAGAATGGAAGCTACAAGCAAGACTGGTTACTGCCACACTTCAGTAATTTTATTAATTGTAGATGGGGGCCTCATCTCTTTAGAGAAGAACTAAGCCTGTCAGGCCTGTCAGCCTCACCTCCCTCCCTGGCAAGGTGAGTGTGACATAAGATGCCTCCCATCTTTAGCTTTGTCTTGTGGTTGTGTTCTGGACAGGAAACCACTCTAATCATAATCACAAACAGAGGGTTTTTATGACATTGTTAAAGGATTGCAATAAATTGCTTGGATACTCTAATTGCATATTTCCATCCCCTGGATTTCTTTTAAGCTTAACATTAATTCCAGGCCTGCCCTGGGGACACCTGTACTGTTCTTGCAGAGACTGATTCACCTGGTTGCAAGAGAAACCAAAGATAAGGAAGATGAACTGAGTTCTGAAAATTCCTGTGTCTCTGTGTTGACTGTAAAGCGAATCCACGCTATCGCACACAACCTGCTTTTAAACATCCAATATAAGGCAGTACAGATCCCGCTCTGTTTTCACAATGAAAATATGCCCAAATTTATCATGGTCATTGTGTGCTCAGTTCCAATTTGTTTCATTTTTGAGGCTCGCTATCCTGGAATTAGTATCTGAGAGTCCAATGAAGCATTAGGAGAACTTGTGTTTCAATTACAGAACAGGCACCTAACCTGAGACTCAGAAACTTATTCCTGTTCCTTCAGTGATACCCTCTTTACAGACCACTAGACAAAAATAGAGGATCTGCCTAATTAAAATAAAGACAAATCATGCTCAATACTTGCATTAGCCGGGGTTTTAGATAGAGACAAAAATGCCTGGGGTGAAAATGGAGGATAGAGCTAAAAGGAAACTGAAAAAAAAAAAAAAAGAAGGAATTAAGGATTTACTGGGTTAGAAGAGAGATCAGCTGCTGAGAGGAAGAATCCTGCAAATAGCTTGTCAGGAGAATGAGACAAAAGAGAACAAATACGGGAGACAAAAGCTTGTGTATGACTGAGGAACCGAGACAGAAGCAAAATACATTAGGAGAGGAATGAGACGTGGTGAGCAATGAGACTGCAACCGCACATATGAGCATATGTCATCTCCAGTTACTGTTGGTCCTCACGGGGGACGGTAACACTGCAAACAGCTACTCTATTAACCCAGCTGGCAATGGTCTGTCAGGGAATTTAGACGTTCCAGCCCTGCTTTCCCATGAGAAAACTCAAATTCCTTTCTCTTCAGACTCATGTCTGACTGCCACGTACTAATTGAAACATGCTGCTGCATATGGAACTCTGAAGAAAAACTAAAACTGTGTGATCACCATTGATCCAGCACACCTTTGGTAGAGCGTCCTATGGAAAATATAGCGGATACCATGCAGTTAAACACTGTACCATAATGTCATGCATAAAAACCTGACAGGTAACCTCCACTGTGGCATTTCTGGGGCGAGCAGTTAGGGGTAAAAGAAAACAAATCAAGAGTGGTATGAACCCATTTTTCATTATAGTTTTGTAGTCTCATTCATACAGACACAAAAAATGTTAGATGTTCATGTAAGCAGTTTTACCACTTCAGACAAGTTTACAGTCCCATTTTGAAGGCTTGCTACGGAATTAGTAAGAGAACTCTTAACGGCCGTAAACTCTTTTGAAAGGATGTGCTTTCTTCTATTTACATAAATTTCCTAAGATATCACAATACATAGAAACAATCTTACGTATCGTGTGGAAGGGCTTTATAAAGAAGCTGATAATATGCTGATTCTTATTCTCAGTAATCAGCTTAACTTGTCAAGATCTGCAAATTGGAAAATAAGGGCCAAATCTAAGACAAAAATGGATATTTGAGGAAGAACTAATATTGAGTTGTATTTACCATTTGCCTGGCCTGTTAACAAAACTTTCTGGCATTAATGCGATACTAACTTTTGGATTAAATACTAAACTAGAGCCCTCAGATTTGTTTAGACATTTTTGTTCCTAACATCCAGCAGTAGTGAATAAGGAAAATAGAAACCTATACCACAGGCTATGAAGGAGCAAAAGGAACAGGCATAATTCACTTTCCCCTACATGGCTGCTGCACTGGGTTCATCGATTTTAAAATCATTAGAAATCACAGCTCTCTCGTTTCTGCTGGAACATTAAAAAAGTAGCTATGTGGGCTGACACTTTTGGAAACTTTCCTAACTTGGGGCAAAAAACCCCGCTTTCTTCTAGTTTTCCTAAACATCTGTCAAAAGACTTTGCACTGCCCAAAAAACAATATGCTTAGCATTAAGTGGTGACTACAGTCATTACCTGGTAATTGATCACTGAAAAATGGAAAAGAGTCTTCCAAGCACAGCACACTACTCAACGGTCCAACTGAAGACCTCTTTAGTACCAATTTTCAATCCATTAAATTCCACAGAAATTCTGCATATAAGACACTGTATGCAATATTTTACAGTTGCCTCCAGAGTCACTTTTTCTCATATACCTGAAGAAATGCTCAAATATATGTTCTATTTTGAGTTACAACTCTGAAGAAGCTCTGAAATGTCCAGGAAAAAAATCAGACCTAGAGTGGTCATTTTAAGCAGAAAAACACATTGCCTAAGCCTCGAATAGCCCATTTCTTCTCAAATATAACTACATGCTTATCCTTAGAGGTGGAGTCCCTGTGCTGCTAATGTATTCAGCATAACACTTCACAATCACAGTCCCTGCAAATCAGTTCCTACCATCTGCAATATTTGAAATTCCAAGTATTTCCAAATTGCGATTCACACTCCCCGTATAAGATTAGCATAAAACCACAAGATTTAGTGAGGTACATGTTTTTTGAGTTATGCACTGACGACGAATTTAGAAGACAGCCTCAGGCTGCACAATGCCATTTCAAGTTTGAAATGTAAACATACATACAGATATACCGGCTTCTCCAGATGCAGGTCTTGTGGGTTTTCCTTTGGACTCTGCTGGTTTCTCTCATTTTCTTCTCCTTGTCCTTTTACCATCACTTTCTTTTCTGAACTCTCTTACTTATCCTTTATGCTTCCATATTTTCTATTTAAGTTCACCTCATTTTTAACTCTCCATTTACTTTCTATCCCTCTCCCATATTATCTTCCTTTCCAGCTTCTTTCAAGCTCTTCAGCCACACAGCATGAATGATTATCAACAACTGTAGCTTCACCCCCACTGCAAGTCAGGGAAGCAGTAGCTCCCTTTACTGTTCAAAGATTAGAAAAAAATTTTTTTTTCTAAGTGAGTTTCTGTGAGTTTTTCAAACCTCACAAGGTAAACAGGTGTGCTAATCAACACCCACATAAATCTCTTTCTAGCAAGAGCAAGATCTTACCCCTTGTCACTGTTCATATTTCAGCTGAGACAAACTTTAGAACTTAATTAGGTCTAGTCATGGTTCAGTATCTATCTTTCCTTTATTCTCCCATTTTTTCTTTAGAATTTGAATACATAACCCTAAATAACTGTAGAATCAAAGCTGAAAGTTGCAATCATAATAAATGTACAGGAAGATTCACTGAAAGCAGAATTTAAGTCCCAATGTTGCTATTAACTTTATATAATGCCCGATTATAAGATTTTCTTTACTTACTTAAATGTAGAACTTACCATTTTTATGCTATAAAGTGAAATTAGTATCTTTGAAAAGAAAGGTCTTTCTCCAGGTAAAATGCATACTTGAAACTGCCATTTTTGTGCATGTGTGAGATCAGTTGTGCTGTAGCTTTTATGTTGCATTAGTACACTATGCCATGCTATTTGCTCATTTGTAATTTGATCACAGGTCTCTTGACTTAATAATCTGCTTATACACTTTTCTCATCCTCACAGTTATTATAAAAAACAAAGATGTTAAAAATAAATTTAGTAGTAAAGCACAAGAAATGTTTAATTACATACTAATGAAATATGCTACGTGTTCTGCTCCAAATTGCATCTTACACAGATCAAGGTAGTGGCAATAGGTCGTGGATCTGGCTCTTTGAATGGACTGTTGATCTTTACCTTTCAGTTTATATGTAACAATGGAGAAAGCCAGAAAAATTTTGCATGTATAGCAACATCGCAAGCACTGGTAGTAATACAGATACAGACTAAATGCTACTGTAAATTAGGACAACGTAGCTTTTGGCACTGTTACACATTTTCTGCTTTAACAGTTAATATTAGATGCATACTTGAAACACTGCAATCAGTTTGATTATAAGAGATGTTTACTGCATATTATATCATCATTCCTACCTTTCTGTTTCAGTTGCGGAGCCTTTCCTAGTTTGTTTTTGGCTGCTATATCTTTCCACTTTTCTCGACTGCCTGTGAAATGAGATGTCAGAAAAGAAATAAACAAAGAAGAAAAAGAATACAAAAGATATGAAGATTTTATGAAGATTATATATTTAATAATGTATGGTAAAGGTAATGACAGAAATGGTTGACAGATGACAAAGTGACAACTGTCTTCCTGACCAGGCTGGTGAACTGGGTGAAATCAGGGCTTTGATTAGCTTTGTTTGAGCCTGATGGTGTGAAGGCTATGAGGTACCAAAATAGGGAATGTAACATTAACCCTGACTGAACATGCAGCTAGTTCCCATTTAAAAATCTGTATTTGATTAGAAACGCCTTCCTTCACAGGCCTTTTAGTCCTCCACTGACAGCACCAAAAACCAAATGCATAGTAGGCAGCAAGAAAAAACTGTTGCAGCAAGGATCAGAAAATAATATTAAATATAATTAAAAAAAACTTTTTTTTATCTTAACCTAGATCAGACGCCAGTCAATCACCTCTCACGCAGCAAAGCAGGTGTTTCTTTCAAGGGCCACATTTTGGAAAGGCATTAGTTACCTTTGTGACCTAAGTATTTACTTTGGTAGTAAATAGTAACAATGAGCAATAATCCAAGTCAATGGATTTGAGAATGACAGTAAACCATGCTTCAGCTTTATGACCCAGGACGATATATATATATAATGAGAAATCTCTGCAACAGTCTTCTGCGTCATAGAATTTCTATTACTATCCACAGTAATGTGGGTATTTACAAATTAGAATTTACAAGGTGAAACTTCTGATAACCATCAACATACTTTAGTCTTTTAGAATAAAGAGCACATAAAATATTTCAAGAGTGGACAAAAACAGGGAATGATTATTATTCATGGTTAAACCAGAAGTGCTGACAAATCCCAAACTGCATGTTACACAGGAAAGATGACAATCAAATATGTAAGGATCTTGCACAGATATAATCAATGTCATATATTAAGCTAGAAAAGAATCACTCAGGGTAAAACAAATAGATAAAAAATAAAAATAAAAAAAAACATTTTAAGATGTCATTTTAAACCTTGGTGGTTATGAATAGAGTTCCAGTTTCTGAGCTGGAAGATACCTAAACAGCTGTTATACCAAATTATGCCCAGGGAATATAATCACAGTGGATTTTCATGATTTGTATACCCACTGCAGCATTATATTGTAACAGTATGCTTCAGAGCAAACAAAAAAAATACAAAATGGTAAAGAAAAAAATTTGTAGAAACAGCGATCATTACTGCACGGTTTCCAGTTCTTAAAAGAATACATGTTCTTACAACACATACTCTCTCAGATTACAAACTAAAATTCCTTTTGCTCTTCTCAGACTCTTTTCTCCAGTATCTTTTGTCATTATCTTTTTTTTCTTTACCAGGACAAATACAAGGTGTACACATAAGGAAACTCATACTAAATGCTGCAACTTTCACTTAAACCCTAAGGTTCGCAAATTATTTAAACTTATGCATAGATGCACCGAATGCAGCATTATCACTTAAATGACACTCTGTCCCTAACTTCACCTTCTATTTGGTTTGCTCGGGGATTTATTTTCCCCTTATGCTTTTACATCGCTTGCTTAGACTGTGACATTAACAGCAACGGAAAAGCAGAGCACATAGTGACTCCTTTGCTTCGTTCTGTTCCCTCAAAAAGACTGGGCAGAGAAAAGCTGAGAGTAAGAAACGTCGTTCTGTGAAAAGTGACAAATATATAGTCCTAGTGTGCTGAACATAGTTCTCTGCTCTCCGTGCTGCCACTGAGAGCAGCACATCTTAGAAATATCCTTAAAGTCGCTATCTCCTTTCTGCTTCTTCCCTCCTGCTCAGATGATGCTGTACACATGCTGCGTATCTCAATACCATACTACAGCACACTCAGTCCTGGCTCAGCTCTCGTGTGCTGCGGGCCTCAGCAAGCACCTATTCACAGGCAGGCATTCATTCAGGTCCACACAAGATGTACAAAGTGTGCGTTAGGGATAAGAAGGACACTCCTGTCATATTAAAATTTACCTTTTAAATGTACTTAATAGAGGATTAAATCTTACGTATGAACAATACATGCATATCATAGACTTATACATAAAAAGAATAAAAAGGTAAATATGTAAAAAATATTAGGCAGAGCATTACCAATATTACTCATAGTGCATAAGTACAACCAGTACCTCATTTACTTGGAACTAAAATTTGAGTAAATAAGGATACCTCTGTGCTGCTCCAGGTTTAGCACTTAGGTGGTCTACACTGTCCTGTTTTGGAATGCAAGACTCCAGCGTCCTTGTTCTTCACAAAATTTGGAAACATGGATGTGAATTTGGACAGAATGAGCAGAAACAGAGAGATGGTCACATGCAGTGAAGGTGGAGACATGCAGTCAAACATACCAACCAGAAGCATTAAGGCACTATCTGCTGAGCAAGGCTGTGATCCTCATTTACCCTTTTGTCGATTTAACAATATACTTTAAGCGAATTTTGAAATTCTGAGGTATCATTTTAACAAAATACGGTGCAATAAGTAAATAGTGAAAGGCATAGAACATTAAAAAAAAACCCTTTATTCTATAGGTTGAATGCCAGCACTGTAGGTTACCATTATTCCTTCCGAGAATTAATCTACAGGATTTGTTCATTAGCGTAATATATCAATGTATATCCAAAACCTTCCACTTAGGATTTAAAAATACATATTTTACCATTATATTGTCAAATTCTATTGAAAACTCAAACAAATTTCATATATAGATGAAAATTGCATATTCTATTGCAAAGTGTTCTGCTACAGTGATAAATAAGTAACAATAACAATTGAATAACAAGAGCAAAAAAGTTGTCTCAGTACTATTACATATTTTAAAAATTCAAATGACATTCAGAATGTTTCTTAACTTCTATAGCATTATCATTTATGCTGAAGCAGTTTAAGAACCTCAGAATTTGTTCACAGCTTCCAATTTGGCATAAATATTATTGGCTTGTTGATTACCGAATGGAGCGTATGGTACAAAATAAAACTTTTTCATGATAAGGTGTATTAATATAATATTTTTTTGAATATATCTCTTACTGAGCAAAGTCAGCAAAATTCATAGTCTACTAATAAAGTAGGGTATGTAATAAATTTGCATCTAAAATATCAGTACGGTGAGCAAAGGTGACCTTTCCTCTTAAGGTCATGAGTGTAAAAGCAAAACAACCACTGAAAAAGGTGAACAGTTATCTTACGACTGATAATACAATGGAAAGCGTTGATTTCTACATATAGCCATATTCTTAACACGTGACAATGTTTCTAAAGTAAATTTCTAAAGTAATTTTCTTAACATGATTGCTTGAAATTTATTTTGTTGTCTTTTGAATACCTCTTAAGAAAGTGGGAAAAATATTTCTCATTTTGGACATATTCCCGCAAACACATAGATAACTTCCCCATCTGAGTAACTTCATCAAACACTGCAGGAGTTGTTACATCTGTGAAAGCTGCTGTCCCACTTACTCCATCTTACATGTGAGTTGGATTGGCATTTTGGGTAAAAGGAATTAGAGCCGAACACAAGAGGTCTGCGCTAGAAATTCTTTGAAACAGATAAGCTTACACAGCAAATACAGCATTTAGAAAAAATACTGTATCTATTCTGAGGCCAACAAGATTGTTGGGCAAAGTAAAATTTATCAGGCTTGCTTTCAGAAATGAAGCCGAACCACAGATCACAGAAAAAACACACCTATGTTTTGTGAAATGAATGCTATAGTTCTTAGATTTCATCAACAGATGAAAAACAATCAAGGTTGTATTCTATTTGTTGTTATTTCCAAAGCAAGTCTTCTTTCAAAAATCTATAAAATACCGCTATTTATTTCAGAAAGAAATTAACTAATGTTTCTTTATGGTAACATAAGAGAAGGGACACAGAAAGCCTTTATGCTAGATTCACGTCGGTTTTCTTTTTCCGATTTAGGGGGATATGTCTGCATAGCGGGGTCTTCCTAGATTTTTCTGTAGAAACATAACCAGCAAGTGTCAGCCATCCAGGAGATTTTGTGGGACTGCTGAAGCCGTTGAAGTTTTTTTTTTTTTTCTAACTATGGTGAAGGCTGAGTCTCTATATAGTTTTCATAGAGAATTTGATACAATGGAAAGTCTTGGAGAGAAAACCTCAGTCTATCTACCGATGCTCACTCATGTCTCTTGCCACTTCGAGACAAGACTCTGTACTCAACAGTGAGAGGGTACAGTAAACATGTGGTCTTCTACCCTCTCCTAACCTCTTCTCCATTCCTGAAAACTGCCCCAGCAGACACTTTCTTCCTGAGCAGCGAGTGAAGGAGGTAGAAAAGGTCAAGAACATCTATACCCATAAATTTGCATCTAATGGGGAGACAAGTACTTTGAAGAACACCTTCTACAATGAAGGGGATAATACATCCCATATATTCAAAATGGATGGCTTGCTAGTAAAAAAAAAAAATTCTAACTGATACTCAGAGCAACTGTAGGTTTTGATACCATCAGATCACCATGGGGGATGAAGGGCACTACAGACTTGCATAATACATTGATATGTTTGTAAAGAGTGATGAGAACAGTATGCATGGTACAGGAAAAGAGTAATTCTTTCCTCATCATTTCCTACCTTTTTGAAAGCAGACATCACAAAGCACATAACTTTGCTAGAAAACTACAGTTGCAGTTTGTCCCGTCATACTTCTACACATTTTATTACACCTGGATATTCGTGAATCTGAGCATGGACATTTTTAGTTTCTGATCTTTTCAGAAAACTTACTAACTTGCTTTTGATTTAAGTAATGGAGAAAAATATCAAGTAACCTTGATGCATTTTATAATAGCTAGTTATATTTGTAGCGGGTTTCTGGCAGGTACGTCTCCCTTATCTGGGACCTTAGTGTATTTCCTATGGACGCATTTTGTACCAAATCACAGATCAGGAAGGCATTCCAGTAATCAGACAAGCTATTCACACTTGATGAAGGCTCATGTGCCTCAAAACAGTTATTGCTGATGAGTGTAAACAAAACCTACAAACAGAAATGTGCTAATATTCCCATCACAATTAAAATTAATATTCATAAAGTGACAAAACAATTGTTTTATAAAACTGGGAATCTAACTTTTTAAATAACTTATTATTGACTATTATTGACTACTGTAAAAGAGACCATGGTGTTTTTTGGTGGGTTTGTTTACTTATTTAGCCTTAAGATATCAAGAATGTCATGTTCAATATCCCATGATTTTTCCTGAAGATTTCTGAAAGGCTGTTTCTACATGGCATGTGAGCTGAGTGGTCACAACTACTCTGAAACCTTGGTCACTCCTCATATTCACACAGAGCACTTTAAAATTCATGTCTTGCAGCTTTCTCTCCCTGATGCAAATCACACAATGTTGCTGGAAAGACGGGAAAGATGGAATCTACCATGCAAATTAGTCTGCCATTAGCCTGTACGTGGCACACCTCCCATTCTCTTCATGGGAGTGTCGGTCGGCTATTTGCTCCACAGCTGACTTCAAAATCATTCTTAGACAAGCACATGACCACCAAAAGCTACTTCTCATTAACTGAAAGCATATGATAGTGAATTTTATAATAGCTTATTTTTCTAATCTTGATTATATGTTGAAATTGTATAAAGAACTCTCCAAAAGCACAGTCTGAATAAAATTCCCACCTACCATTAAGTGCTCAACTTTCATTCTCACTACGATTTCACCGTTTCACAGTTCTCCAGTTACCAGGAAATCTTTCACTTTAGACAGGCTTTCTAATTCTAATTTCTAACATAAAAACAAAACAGACCCCAAAAACCAAAGTGGCAAAACAAAATCAAAAACTATTCTTTAAAATATCTTAAAGAAATAAATGATATTAAGGGAACATTTGTTAATTCTTAAATACTGAATATAACCCATGTCTCCATTTTATCAAGGTATATCGAGTCACTTTTGCTGATATGGCAGGTGAACGATTTCAAAAACAACAATAACCTTGCTGAGACTTTTAGTACAATTTATGCTATGCACGATTATCAATAAATACAATACTGTGAATACTAAATTTAAATGATCAAAACTAAAAATAATGCACAAATCGTACGTTTAAGAAATGTACTTAGGAGTAGTTCTTCTTGATTCCACCCAACTGAGCCGATTTGTAAGATAATTCACCCAAATGAACAGTGAGATGACATTTGTCAAAGCCAAATAATCTGTGAAAATGTGATTTGAAAGTGGTGATGAGAAGTTAGTTAGTTATCCCAGTCCATCCTTCAGATATACATTCCCCTGATGCCCACTACATCAGTTGTTAGTTTGATAAAAGTTATCTTAAAAGCATAAATGTCAGAACTGAGTGGTTCTGACCAACTGTCAGCACTGCCTGTCAAATAAAGCTATGGGAAATAATCAGAATGAATGTAAACAAACAAACAAAAAAACCTTTTACAAAGGTAAAGTGCCTTTGATGCCCTTGCTGATACTCTACATACTGGGTGGACTATCTAGCTTGAAACATGGGTTGTGCTAATTCATCTGCTGATGGGTCTTATAGAAGAACCATGCTTTCTCAGGAGCTATGTGGAACAGTGTGTGCTGGGAAAGCCTGGTCCCACCACTCTGCACCATATGACCTCTGGCTGGTGATAGAAGAAAACACGTAAAATTGCAGTCTCTCTCAAAGGAAGGTCAAGTTGCAGAGGAGGTTCAAAGTCCAAGATATCAGGCAAGCTCTACAATGTTCAACTCCCTTTAATTAATCCTCTCCTCTCTGGAAGAAGAAAGTTAAACTGCTCCACAGTAGTTACACAAAACTCCATGTTTTGAACTCCTCCTCATTTTCTGTTGGGACACATAATGTGAAGAATCCCATGTTTTTGTAAGTCCTTTTGATCAGGGAGAAAGAACAAGGAATGGAACAAGGAGGCTGTGAAGAGCCAGCAGGCTGAGGGTAGCCTCAGCTGCTTCATCACTGCATCACTGCTTTTAGTGACTAGATTACCCACAAGACTTCCAGATAGAGCATCCCTTTTGATTCTTTTAACTTTTGTAAGAGCTACAGAAAGGCACTGATTTCACTAAGAGAATCAGACTGCCATTCCTCTTTGATTCAAAATCCTACCCATAACAGTTTCTATATCCTACTGATGCTTTACTGTAATGCTTGCTAACCTGTATTAAGCTATTTTAATCTTGGATGCTCTCACCAAACTTTGACTGACATTAAAAGAATTACAATTCTGCAAGAAATCCTCTTTCACTGATGTATATTGTATAAATACCAATCACTTCAAAGACAACAACATTCAGGTCTGATCCACTGAAGTTAAAGACAGTCTTTCTGTAGACTTCAAAAATGGGAAGCAAAGTTACTTTAAAATCCCTACAATTTCCAAAATACATTTGTGAACAGTTAGCAGCTGTCCCTCCAAAGGGCCCAGGATTAGTGTTGGTAAAATACCTAGAAATGTAGTATATGTTAGAAGGGCCAGTTTTGAAATAACGTTTTACAAACTTAATTTTATAATGCTGGCTTACACTAGGAAAAAGAAAAACAATATCCAAATACAGTTATGGGTTGCACACACTCTCCACCTTACATTAGTGGAACACAGCCAGCATCAAGCAAGCATGACAGATTACAGTACAAATGTAACTACTGCGGGTATCCTTAAGCAAGAGGTAAACACTAGCACTATAGTAACTGAAAAAGCTTTATCCATATATCTGTCCTACAATTTTGAGAGCAACTTCATCAGAGTTTTCATAAATGTGGATTATTTATATAAACCACCTTTACCCTGTCATTTATTATAGCACAAAATACTTGAAGGCCAAATTTTAAATTTAAATATAATTATCATCTAACTGCTTTGATTAAAAAATGGATATCTCTGGAAGGAAAGACATAAACAAATTACTACTATCAAAACAATCAACCACCAAAACCGATTTGAGTAGGAAGTTCATGATAAGAAAAAAATAATAAAGGTGGATGCTTCTATTCATCATGGTTGGTAATTCAGCGTAAAAATATATTTAAGGCACTGGCTTTTTAAAGCAAAACCTACCTTATTAGGGAAACCTGTTCCATGAAGATCATCCTAATTTAGGACAGAACTCAATAACAGTGCCGATTTTTACATACACCAATTAATGCACGTTACAGAGACTTCGAACATATCAGACTTTTTTTCTCTAGGAACAGTGTGTTAAAAAAGAAAAACAATAACTAAAATAAAAATAAATTCCATAGACGAAAATAGTCTCTTCAACAGATACTTATCATATTATAAAGCACCACAGTGAAAACGCCACCAACATTTACACAAGCAGGTAAAAACAGACCGAAGAACACTGACACAGATGTTGCTCTGTTGTATCAGACATCTTATTTCATGGCTTGTAACTGTTCAGACAAACAGAAAATTTGAACAGACATGAATTCCTAGGTGCTTTATAACAGTTCAACAAAATGCAGAGATGATATCTTAGCTGCTGTTTTATTTTGGGCTTCTGGAAGTTAGAAGTCTCTCTATATTGTTAAATTTCAGTACACTGCTCTGAGAGTGCAAGATGCAATAAGCCACTTTTCAACTGGGAGGAGCTGACTAGTACCTGTCATCCTCCGGAGATGCATGCTGGATATGAATCCTGGGACTAGTAGGTCGTCTCCTCTCTAGGGAGGGGGACCATCTACCCCTGTTTGCCCGTTCAATAAAACAGGAAAAAAATAGGACATTTAGTTTGTGATAAAATTAAAATATATGGGATTTGGGACTGGAAAAATACCCCCAAAAGTAAGGAAACTGATAATGTGCCATTTAATTTTTCTTTCTAACAGTTTTCCAGTTCTCAGGTGTACTGTTCTTATGTCTGCTTACTGCAGAAACATTACAGCTGAAACAAACAGAATGTTTGCCCAGATAAGCAGAATTTGGACTGATTTAAATCTTTCTCATTGTGTACTGTACGTTTTCAAATATTCTCAAATGACGGATTATCTAGAAGCCTGTCACACAGAAAGTTGCAATTCCAAGCTAGAAGTGCTTTTCAGAGACTGTATGATAGTCACTTTCTATTGACTACTGGCTGATACCCTAGTTTTTCCTAGCTCTTTGCATTGAAAAAATGCATTCTCAGTAACAATGCAGGAGTACAAATTAGGAGGAAAATTCTAAAGCGTGAAGGGACCCTTTTTTTCCAATACAACGACAAGAGTCATCTTCAGCTCTATTCATCAGTTTCTAAAGCTCTCTTACTCCAACTGTAATGGATGGGCCTGAATAGCCCCTTTGTACACTTTAAAGGCTATACTTTTGAGTATATCTACCACAAAACATCATGACTGTCTCAAGCATTTGTATCTTCGTATTCTGCTCCCTTTGAAGTTGTTCTAGCAGTAGACCCTTTGTGTCCATTCAGGTAGTCTCTTAACTGAATATTTTAGCAGAAACTAGAGCTCAAATTTTAAAGATGCAATATGACAGTACTGATTACTTCCTAATAAAGTTCTTTAACAGAACCAAAAAAATTAAAAGCTAAAAGTGGAGATTTCTCACAGGAACATTACTCAATAAGCATTGTTATTCTCTTAAGTAACTTAGAGTTCTAATGCTAATCTTTCATTTATTGTGTTAATTTAATGAAGTAAGAAATACAATATCAATTTTTAATTAAACATCATTTTTACATACTGTAAAGGTAAATTAATTAGCTACAACTAAGCTCATATTTGTGTACAAGAACTGAGGTAATTTTTTCATTAAAAAATATATACTGAAGGTGCATGCAGCCGACTTTTGTTCATTTCTTGCTATCCCTGAAGTATATGCCACCAGATTATGTATTCTATAAGTATATTAAATAAAAAGATCTGAATTGCGAAGGAACACTGGTCTTACATGTTTTTTCCTTTAAAAAGCTCACTTAATTTAGAATGATAAATAATAAACTACAAACAAACATTGCTTATTTTTGTGTTGATTTTATATGTCTGTAAAGTGCAATGGTAAGTTCAACAATTTACAACTCCAAAGCATACTGTTTAATTGACAAAAACAGCAACACGTAAACTACATAAACTCTGCACAACTACGTATTTCACTTCCTGAGGAATTTTTCCAGTCCATGTAAAAAGGAAAAGGGGCTCATTTATGGAACATGCAAATAACAAAAGTTTCAAGGAGATTAGCATCACTTGAACATTAAAGAAGATATTTCAGAAAATTTGAAAGGAAATAGGTTGTTAGTAGTTAATTTCTTTTTCTCTCCAAAGCAAGAGCTAAAGAAAATATAAATGCATCAGTGCACTTAGTCAAAGCCCTTAATATGCTGATATCCACTATAAAATTAAATAGCATTTGATAGAATTAAATAGGTCATGCAGTATGAACTTTGAGTACATGCTCTCTTTCACTGAATTTTGAATGATCATGAGCCATGTTACAACGCAGACAAACATGCAACAACCTATCTATCTGTTCACATGGTTGAAAGGAAAAAAGAACACAATACATCACACACCTAATGAAAATAGCTGTTTTCCTGTATATTATTTAAAATATAATAGTGAGAATCAACATAACCTTTAAAAGCATGTGATATAAACATCTAATATTCCAAAGTCACTAAAAAACTTTAATAAAATCACATTGAAACTAATCACAGCCTGGAGCAGGATAGGACTTAACTGGACCAAATGACTACTTCAAATCCTCTGTTATCTATTTATGAATAGGTAATAGGTAACTTTTTAGCTTTGTATATTTGTTAAGTGGCAGTGACCAGCTGACAGTAAAAATCCTGAAAGATTTTTGCAGCATTTTGATTCCTATGGCAGCCAATCATCTCAGAATGAATCTAACATAGCGGGGCTGCGTTTTGCAGGTGTGCCGGGTGTGCGCTATATAAACTGATCGCTCTGATATGCTCTTCAATTTCCTTTGCTCAGAACTCCACTAACTAAACCTCTCAGGACCAAAACTTACCAGCATTACCACTTTGCACTACCCATTTTGCGCTAACTGCTGTGACACACCATATTTGCTTGCAATACAAGAAACTTAAGTAAATAAAAACCACAACATGTATTATTAAGTGACTGTCACTGGCTAACATCTTAAACATTACCAGATCATCTAGTGAAGATGATACCATGATGAGAAATCACTGGTGAATTGGTTGAGGATAAGGAATGCCCTTAAATCGCACGCCTGTGTGCCCTCCTGAGCTGAGGCTGCTGACTGCACACAGATTTCTCTGCTCTAAGGACAGGACACTCAACTTACACGGGAAAAAAAGTGTATAATTTTGAGACATGGTGGAAGAGGACAGATCAAGGATGAAAAAACACGCCAAAGGAAGTAGTGGCAGCACAAAAGCATTTTCAATGGGATTGAAGGGTATTTAAGACTATTTTATAAACTAACATATGTCTTGCACATCATCACAGAAACTTCAACAAGACAATTTTTTTGACCAAAGCAGTTAGGAATAAATGGCAGAGAAAAAAAAAAAAAGATAGGCATAGTGCAAGTGTATATATATATGTATTAAATAAAGGTTGGATCTTTTCAAATATCCTAGCATACTGTGCCGAACATATGAAGAATTAAGTTCTGTACTAAACTATTCCATTTACCAAAGTGCTTCGGTAGGCCTGCATCAGGGCAAGGTCAGTTTGCCAGTCAGTTGCACTAGCAGACCTTCCTCGTTCAAACGACAACGACAGAAGACGTTGACAACGTCCGTTGACAATGGAGAAAAGTAACCTTTCAAATTTATTTTTAGTGCAACTAAACAGGCTTATACATTCCAAACTAATACATATACTGCTAAAAGCACTTTTCTGCTGGTACACCTGGGTCACTACAATGACTTTTACCAGCACAGCAGATTCAGATTCTTAAAAATAACCATTGCTCCAATCACTCCAAATGACAAGAGAAATGTTTAGGGATCACTTTTTTTTTTTTTAATAAAGCACTAACACAGAGAAATAGTGTTCTATTATCAGTCAGTTATACGTAGCTAATACTATTTATTAAAAAAGTCAAGTGGACCCTTCTAACTCATGGTCTCATTTGCTATGTATTTTACACTTTCTGAGAAAAAAGGTTGGGGAGATGGAGCATAAAGAATTTTTCACAGATAAGTATACTCATAATTTCATTGAAGAAAATATGTAATGCCACATTTGGAAATCTATCTTTATACTTTGAGGCCTCAAAGCCCATATTTTTAAATAAAATCTACAATTCTATTCTTAGTAAAGAAAAAATCCACTTCATGAAAACAAACCAAAAAAACCTTCCACATATGTTTCTTACATATAATAATAAAAAACAGTGCTGTACAGATTGTACTTCACAAATCCTTATAGTATAACTCTTTGCTATAAGCAGGATCAACTACAGAATTTTGTCTAATCTCTTCTTAGAGCATCTCCAGTAACAAAGTCTAAACAATCTTTCCGTATCATCTATTCCAGTGTTTAATTATACTTAAGTCCATTATTCCTGTCTTGTCCAGCACAGACACAAAGTACTTTTTGCATTACCTTGAACTTAATTCGTTGTTCTTCAAACTAAAAGACACCTTTATCATTACGAGTGAATGATAACTTATCTCATGCTAAAGCATTCAACAGTGGAGGATGACGTTTTCTAAAACTACTTCCTCCCTCAAAAAATTACTTGATATTTTTTATGTATTTAACATCTTGCTTCAAAAATTTAGTGTATTGGAATAATGACATCTGTGTCCAAAGGAAAGAAATGCATGTCACTAATCCCCTGACAGACCTGCACAGGTATTATTTGCAACAAAAACATCACGGACATTTTCAACATAAACGTCATAAAAAAGAGCTTTCCTTTAGCCTCATGAAGGACTCAAAGCCAAAAGCAACTCTTCAGTCGCCCTCTGGGACTTCTAAAAGTACTGACAGAAAAATTTGATAGTGACACACTATTTTTCTGGATCATGCCCACAGATGATTCAATCAAACCTAGTGTTTAGTGATGTTAGAGGCCACTAACACAGACTAATCTTTTTTTTTTTTAAATGAGGAGCTCATGGAAAATGCTGCAGATTCTACTCAATGCCTAGTGGATAAAAGTTGTTGGAGAAGAATCATAAAGACATAATAGATCTGCTTAGTGATAATGACAAATTTAGTTTCAATTATAATATTTTAGCTAAATATTTTACAATTACCAACTACCATTTCATTGAATACTCAGCTTGACAGATGACATCTTGAGATGAAACTACAAAATATACGCTGCTTATGTCCATACACTACTAAACAGCTGCTTATATATGAATGCAGCTGTATGCAGTTACACATAGTTCCTAATCTGCTTCTATATATTTTTTTTAATTTAGAACAGTATATTGGATTTCATTGTGCATTGCCTTATTTCCATCATATTTTTGGCAATCACATATATATTAGTTATGATATGTCAGGCTAGATATTAGTTATGATATGTCAGGTTAGAACTTAAAAAAGAACAAACTAGCTTAGATCTATTTGAGATACCATCGATAGAAGACTTAGCCACTCCTGTACAAGAGCACAACTTTGAGAATACTACAATTCCAATCAGGCAGCAGTGGGAAAGGGGGTGGAGGGAGAGGGAAATTCCACATACCATCAAAAGAAGAGAAAATTTATCTTAAAGACAAAAGTAATTTCTTTCTGCTTTTATTTGCAGGTCCTCTCCCTGACAATTAAACTGAGGCAACTGATTTAACCACCAGACTGCAGATTGACTGATAATCATCCTCACATTATTACTTGCCATACTCATTAAATATAAATTGTACAGATGAAATTATTTATTTATTTATTATTTCCACCATAGTCAATGGGAGCCTGTCATTGCCTTCAGTGAAGCCAGAATTTCACCCTAAAATGGAATAATTCTTAGCCAGAAACGCAGAAGGCACTGAAAAATTCCTTTGTGGAACAATCCCACCTATCAAACACATCAGTAGTATTTGGCTCCCTTAAGATTTTGAACCAAGCTATTATAACATGAACAATTAAGAAGGTATCCATAACACACCTACAGAATTTAAGGACTTAATCAGTGTTTAATTTAAATTACAGAACAAGTCTTCCTAAGACTTACGTCAACCTTAATATCATGTCACAGAGTGAAAAAAGCAATGCACTGATTCACCTTGTAATTTAAATAGATGCAAAAGCAGATGCAGCAGATTAGATTAAGAAAGCAATGAACTTGGGCTGGCGGTTTTGTAGAAAATACACTGTTATACAAACTACAGTTCTGGTTTGAAATATGGGAGTTTTGTCATATAAATTTTGTAAATTATGTCACTGCCTTATGAGCAGTCCACAGAACAGGCAAGAAGTAAATGTTATACTTTTTAGCAAATGGTGATGAAGATTAACAATCAAGTGGTGCTTTTTCAAAATACTTAACACAACACTGCAATGCTATTATCAGCATACTGAGGACTTTTGAAAGCAATGACATCAGCTTGAAGTAAAACAAGGAAAGAAGCCAGAAGCAGTTATAAACTCCAACACACAACTTACACGACATACATGAATATAGGAGCAAAAACGTCTACAAATACCAAAGCAGACATGAACGTACAGACATGTAGAGTACCCATGTGAAGAAAAACAAAACTGATAGAGATCACCAGCACAGAAGACAAGAAATTCATAAGTCTTTATTTTATACCTTTCTCGTTCTGGTGAATGCAAACTAGTATCTGGTCTCAAGCAGTTGGTACTAGCACTCCTAGCCCTGTCAAGGGAGGGCTGTAGTTCACTAGTGCCAGTGCATTGCATCCAATGGTAGAAGAGAAAGAAAAAGAAAACAAAGGAATACAATGTTAGATATTAACTCATAAAATAATGCTCTCTTTACAGAAAATGTAGAATCACAATGATTTAATTAAGAAAAACATAAAAAGAGCTGACTGGATGACAATGTGAAGATTTGCTTAGAAAATAAAGCCAAACAAAAGATTGCTAGAAATTTTTTGTTAAAAATTCCTGAAACGTTTACAACCAAATGAGGTTAAACAATATCCACTCGTAAGAAAGTGGAATGAGAAATACCAAACAATAAATCTAAACCTTTATTAATAGTAGCAAAACTTAAGCCAAAATAAAAGTGTGTGATACACTATATATTATGTGAGACCACTTCACGGTGAAGCTAATTTATTCTGCAAAGCCATATTAGATACTAAACAGGAGGGGGAATTAATCCTCAGTTTCTTACCTAACCAGTAGGTCATCTCCAAATTTCGGTTTTCGTGAATTAAGGCAATCACGAAGAAGTGAAATATCCTGTCCTATCACTGATTTGGTCTTAGCACATGCAGGCAGAGTTGAGCTTTGTAAATTAAAACCATTTAAACAAAATGAAAACAAATCTGACATGTAACCAAAATCATATACATAAAGAAAAGAATATAACAAAAAAAAGTGTAACATATAATGCTAACAGCGATACTTTACTACAGTTTAATGATGAAGAAAATTCTACCTAATACAAAGTGTTGTCTTTTACACATAAGGGTTAATTTATCCATTATCAAAACTGTCGGAAACATGAATTTTTATAAGGCAATATTATTTATTTTTTTAAAAGACATCTAACTACTTGAAGGGGACTCTGAATACTTCTTACCTGTATATGTTCCAATGAGTACCATTTTCTAGTAAAGGCATCTTGGGTGGTAATGTTTTATAGTGCCTAACAGAATTTCTTGAATGTGGCAGAAAGGAAAACAAAACAGAACAGAACAAAAACATACCAAAAATAAAAATACAGATAAAGGTAAGGCAAGACTGACCAGAACTTAAAATAAATGCATAGCAGTCTACTTAGTTGAAGATCTTGATTAGTAGATTTCTCAATATATGTTTTTCTCAATTCAGCTATGGTGACAGCCAATTTGGAAGACAAATTTATGCATTTACACTTTTGCTTGTTAGTACAGACCACGAATTCATGACAATACTAGCATAGCTCAGAATTTTTTTCCTTGTAATAAAAGTAATTAAATTCCTTTTATAGAGATTTTTAATCAAGATATACAAGCTGTTGTAAAGTATTAGGTTGATATCAAACTTGCTGTTTATTTCCGTCAGTAAAGCTTTATTTAGACCTACAGAGACTTTAACCTCTCCAGCTAACCATGAAAAGCTTGCTAAAACATCTATATATATAGTGTCTCAAAGTCAATTATGGATGCATTAGCATCTGGCACTTCAGAATGCTAAAGTCTTTTGAAAGTGGTATATCAGCTTCAAAAACCTCACAGTAATTAAATGCTATTAATAATCAAAAACTAATTTAAAAACTAGAAGAACTCTTACGTCGGCCATCACAGCAGACCTCAAGGGTGCTATATGACAACTGTCTAATATCATATAATTATTTAGAGTTAAAATTATTTAGAATTATTTATTTTAGAACAGGGGATATAAAGTGCTTTATTCAATTCTGTCCCAGTGAGCAAAGGAGAAATGTAAGGGCAGGTGGTGGCTCTCTACATTACAATCAGGAGCATTTCATGGTTTAAGGGTTAATAACCAAGTTCCAACAATTTTGCACGTACCCTACCCAGACAGAACTGCAGTAGCGTTAGCAGAAGGACCAGCAGCTTTGAGGGTTTTGCCAGCTTCAAGAACAGTCCCTCTCAATAGAACATTTTGATTCCTACTGACATTTAGACCTAGACACACCAGATCAACATTACAAACCTGGATATGTCACCCAGAGATGAAACCACCCTCTTTCTAGAAACGCTAACATATGAAAAATCCTAAGGGATTTAACAGAGGAGCTTTGACCACCTGTTGTACAGGTTTAGTCATTACTGCTGAAGTCACTGGGAAGCTGGAAAAAAGGAATGGGTGTCCATCAGATGCTCCAGCTCATCCTGGCTTACTGCAGATACTACTAATCAAAGTGGGTGTGAGCTAAGAGGTGGACTGCCAACTACATGGTCTACGGCACAGGTTCCCTTCCACTGTCTCTGCTACAAGGCAATAGCCGCCAGCAGATAGATAGGACGGACAGTTAGGAATAGTATTATTCAACACTAGTGCAGCAAACTAACCGCATATCTTGACTTGGTAGCTTGGAGCATCTCATACTAATTGACAGACCCTCAACTTTTCTTCCCCATTTTAAGCTGAAGTTGTCAACTCTTCATAAAAACGTTATTCAGAAAGTTGTCTAGAAAACAAGAACAAAGCCATATAACGCTATTTCTAACACGAATAAATGTTTGTCAGGCCATTATAAATGAGAAAGCAGAAAAGATATGTAAAACCTGTACACAGACCCAATATTTTGTGAAAGGGTTCATGAGACTATATAGTCAAGTATGGACGTAGGTAATTTTCTGGACACTTCAAACTTGGATTAGGCTGTATATGCTTCACAGCTAATTTTAGAAATCAACCTACTGTTTTCTGTTATTTAAATACTCACATGGGTGGATTTGGTACTTATTTGAACCAAAGAAAATAACAGCAATAACTAGAACAGTAAACTAAAAAGGAAAGCAAGCGCTGCACTGTCTGAATTTAGTGTTCCTCTTGTTCCTCTTACCTAATCTATGGCTGCCCACGAAAAATTTTTAGCAGAAATTGGTTAGCAGGACAGACTGAGTAGTATATTTGTAATGCAACTGGAAATCTATAGTGGCTGGGCAAAGTTCATCAAAAGTTCATCATACAATGTTTAGTTCATGGATTAAGTGACAATTTAAACACTGTCATTGAAGAATTGTACAGTGAATTACAATCTTTAATAGGAAAAGGAAGGAGTCCATAGCTGGGAGGCTGTAGAAGATGCAGCTGAAAGAAAAAGGCCATGGTAATGTGGTGGGAAAAATTGCCATTCTTTGACAGTAAACTGACATAAAACAACAGGGAGTGAAATAAATGAAAAATTAAAATTTGAAAATGTTGAGGCAAAAGTTTTTTTAGCTGCAGTATGAGAGTGAAACTCTTTCTATTGAAATTTAAAACGTAAATTTTAATGTAACAGCTGCATTGGTACGCAACTTTTTTGGAAAGTTTTTATATTTACAATTTTACTATTAAACAGTATAACAGAACGGAATCATAACATCTTCAGTTCTAATTCAGTCAAAGGAATTAAAACAACCCAGGGCAAATGAATATAAACTATTATGTAGGAGAAAATCCTACAAGAGAGAACTGAAAAAAATACATTAGATAATATAGTTTTGAAAATTCCATGGTTTTAAGATATATAATAGTGACCCAAAAAAAAAATAATAACACTCAGTTCCTGAACCAAAAAATGGTTAAATACTTCATTTGTACCACTTGCAGATGACAAAACCTATGATTCTATTGATTCTAACTGAAAGATCTTTTCCACAAGCTGACATGTACTCATGTAAAGTTACCAGATGTGTCAAAAAAAAAAGTGTGTGTGGGGGGGGAACATTAGATTTATTAGACAAGGGTATTTGAGTCTCATTTACTTTTGCAACACTGGGAACAGGGAGCTTCCAGCACTGGTGGAGATTCTATTAAAAATTAAAGATGTGCCCAGAATGCAAAGTTAATGCATGGATCTAATTTTTAGCACAATTCCAAAATGAAAAAACAAGTTATATGAGACCCCTTCAGATCTGGGATTCCCAGGGAGCCTTTAAATCATGCCCACATAAATCACTGTTCTTTCCTGTACAACTGACCAAAGTCAGTATAATATCAGGTGTCACAAAAAGCAAAGATTGTTGGCCTCTTCTCAGTTGTACTATGGACGTTTTCAGCTAGTGTACACTATAATCTCTGTTCTCCATGGCTATACTACACATAATACTCTATAGGTTTTAAGTTAACTATTTGGAAAGGTCAAGTTTTCCTTTACGGCAATAAAGAAGCCCTCATTCCAGAAAGATGAGCAGTTAAACATTTCATTTATTAATACATTACTATAGTTTTTTGCTAGTATAATTCCCTAATACCAGACATATGAAATGGGATAAGAGTGGTATAACATGTTGAAGAAGCAATCCACAAATACTCATGCAATGCTTTTCAAGTCAGGAAGAGATAAAATATAATTGTAAGCAGCAATTTCTAAGAAGCTCTTTCAAAAGTATGTGGCCTTGTTATTTATTTGTTTAGCAAGTAGAAACATATCACTTCTTAAATGTCATGAGGTCAGTCCTATCAGCTTGATCATTCTGATTCACAATAAATTACTTTCCATTTAAGTGATGAAAAGAAGTTTCAGAAAGTTCTAGTGCTAACTTGTTTTCTGCTTGGACCAGCACAGTCTATTTTGGTCTTAAAAGATTAATTACTTGAGTAAAATTTTTAAAATTCTTTCAAAATAATGCAAGGAGAGAGATCAAAATTAAGTTGTACATCCTTACATCCTGTACATCCTTGCACAACACTTACAAATGCATTAAAATGTTTTAGACACTCATTCTAAACCTATATACAAGCTTAATTTCAGACCTAAACGCTAAATAGAAGCCCAAATCCCACTTTCTCCTTTTCCTCACAATAAAATAATAGTCTAGCTGAATTACGCTAGCTCTCTTCTGTCTAAATTTTAGGTGCTGTGGCACTTGGATGAGTCTGAGACGTTTCATACATCAGTCCTGCAGTCTGGGATTTGGCAGATTAACGTACAGAACCTGCAATCCTCATCCAGCTCATCGTCCTCCTGAAAATGTATCTTCAATAACCTGCTGTTAAAACTCTAAGAGGGGCTCTTTGTATGCATGCTTTTAGCATTCTGCAATAAATAAAAATGGAAACAAAATAACATAAAAACAACAAAATAGGAATGCATAAAACTGTAATATTGCCATGCATTGGTAGGTCAGGACTTCTGTGACTAGACAGATAATCCACCACAAAATGCAGCTGCAAAATCAGCAGTTCAACTGCTTTATCCTTACTTATGAAGTTAGCAAACACATACATACACTTATTTCGATCTGATAAAAAAAAGGAAAAAAAGGAAAAAAGAACAATTGACACCCAGATTACAACACATTCGAAAATTCTTTACTTACTAGGACATAAATACAGCTATGGAAAACAATCATCGGGCACGCAAAGTATACCGAACTAACCAGATATGTTCATGATTACTAAATTCCTGTATTTACCTGATGGTATGTAGGCACTCTGCACTTCTTCCTCGTTTTGCTCTGGGCAGCATAAGAAGCTCACTGCACAGACAGGATGGGTGGTGAGTGAAACAGATATAATTATGAAGCATTAGATGACATGAGTTATGCCAATGATATGCAAATGAAAACATAAAAAGAAACAAGAAGCTTGCTCCCAGATAGATAGCCTGATAACGTTCAAACCCAGGCAGCACTTCTCAAAGAATGTGAGCCAAAAAAAGCCTGTGACAACTACATTTGCAGCAAATGCCTTTTACTTTGGCACCTAATTTTGTGAGTTTTCTCCTTTCAAAATTCAGAAGTACTGTTTCCAAGTTGTTCATGATAAAAGCTGACAGGAATCCATAAACCAGTTACATTTCACTAGTAATCTCCTCTTTCATGAAGTAATTGCTTGTTAAAACATGGAGAAATATTTTAGAAAAAGGAAGGACAGAGTCTTCTGGGTTTTCTTAAGCCACAAAAGCATACATGAAAATGCAGGAAGGGCTAGTTACTAACGTACTCCAAACTGGTTTATGCTGTAGCAAACGCAATGGGAAGAGTAACCAGGTGCCCTTTCGGGAAAAAGGACAATATATGTTTACTGAAAATATGTTTGGACAAATATAAGTAAATATAAGTTCTGACTCAAAGCTCTTCACCGTATTTTGTAATGCAGCCCCTAAAGGAAACAGAAAATTTGCTAATCAGCCATCAGAATTTTGTTTCTAATTGTTTCCATTTCATGGACCAGTCATCTATTATAGTATTACTTCACTGTAACCAAACACATGCTAAGGCCAGTAAGATGGTAAAATTAATATAGATTTATGTCTATGGTAAATATGACTATGATATGACAAATCCCTTCAATTTATCTTGTGGCTTTATGTATGCACTTCAACACAACCACAAAGACAAAGCCCTAAAACTCCTAATTATCATAAACGTGAAAGTAAAGCTAAACTTCATGGAAACATGTTATTTTGAAAGCTGGGAATCATACGAAGTACTATGGCGACAGAGAGAAAAAAAGATTACAAAACATATAAAGGAGCAGTTGTTCAATGAGTTTTGTGCTTCATACCATTATAAAATGACCAACTTAACTGATGCATCATAGGTAAAATTTATGTAAAGTTCTAAACTTGGAAAATTGAAATAATCACTTTTAAGTCACATGTGAGATTTAAGTTTGTATCTGGAACCACTAGCCTGATTTTGATGCAACAAAACATTAAAGGTGAACTGAATTGTTTTTCTTAAAGTGAAAAATAGCAAATCCATTCAAGATCTCAGAGGATTAATAGAATATATCTGCAGGTTTCCAAATTACAAACAAATGTAATGCATTTTCACACAAAGTTACCATTTTCTGTAGATTTTTGTGATTTTCCTGCAAGAGCTGAGGAAATTAGCATCAGCACTACAAACATGCAGTTTCATGGACTGCTTACTTATTAGAGATAGTAACTGCTATGGTAGAAGGAAGATAAAAACTTAAACAGTCTGAAAGATAGCAGATGCAAAGTCCAGGTTAAATCACACGATACTTTGCTATTTTGGCTAAGCCAAAGAATTATCTGTTATAATTGGCCCATGGCAAGCAGTGATATGAAATACGTCCAGGTAAGGAATATAAAATATCCACCACAAAAGCATCTAGTTAAAAAACAAAGCAAAAGAATCTGTAACAGTAGGGCTCTGATAGTATCAGAAGATATTGGCAGTTCCATAATAAATTAAGACCGTTTTGGAGACATTTGCAATAAAGATTATTCTTCTAAAACAAGTGCTTTCTAATGGGAATGTTTAAGATTAACAGATTTCACTTAGGAATAAAAAGAACAGAAAAAATTGAAAGAGTGATCTCTGAGAATAAGATGATGATACTAAATTCAGAACAAAGATACACTGCCTATTCAGATTTCTTAATAAAAAGTTTTTCCTAACAGATATACATATCATTTTCTGTAAATATATATATTATACCATATATCTATAATGTAAGCATATATAAAAAAGGTGAAGTGGATAAATCAGTTCCACTGGAAATGCATTACACCAGATGCTTTAGTAAGAGGCTATAGCACCTAGTTTTAAAACAAATTTTTCAGACTGTTCCATATCAATTTGGGACCAATAACAGATCACTGAGAAAACAGCCAGAAATAATCAGTCTCTGCAATTTCTGTTATGAAACTATCAGAAAAATTCCACGGGCCCGGTCTCATTTTTCTAACCAAGTGTACATTCAGTATGGTCAAGAAGGCACTTGTTTATATGAAGGATTTAGTAAATGAACAACACATAATACTGATACTGATGCTAATGCATAATACTGATACTAACACTGACTATAATAAAGATTTTTTAAAATCCTTGGATATGAAAGAGAATCTTTCTCAACAAGAGCTGTTTTGGCCTTCTCTATGATGCTGGGTTTATTTACTGACAGACAGTAGAAGCTGTAAGAGTTAAACAGCTTCCACAATTGAAGAAATCTGGCAGAGAGAGAAAAAGGAAAATGGGAAAAATGAGACCACCGCAAACAAGATTATTACTCAAGGAGAGTAACTGGACCTGTGTTTAGATCCTGCAGATAAGCCATGTAAGTTCTTCATGTCTGAGCTTCAACTTTTGAAAAGTGTTTTCTGAGCACTGAAAAGAAATTACGACCATTTCTTACTCCAGTCAGAAGCAAATGGGCATTTCTGTCCATTTGCCATTCTGAGCAATGGGCTCAGAAGCCCATTGCTGCTGAGCTCTGCTCTGATGGCTTATCCTCATGATAGCCTCAAAGCAAGCCCTGCTCTCCAAGCATAATTCCTGCATTCATGTATTTAAACTTTTTCAGACATCACTGTAAGATAATTTTAAACCATGGCTTATCCTCATGATAGCCTCAAAGCAAGCCCTGCTCTCCAAGCATAATTCCTGCATTCATGTATTTAAACTTTTTCAGACATCACTGTAAGATAATTTTAAACCAGGCAAGATGGGGGAAGGGGAGTGGTATAGTGGCAGGAGAGTCAGTAAAACACCGCTCAAGTCAGGATGCCTCCAGCGGGTGTATACAGCCAGGGGAGACAGCATGGAACATGGCTATGGAGGCTCCTCTTGCACCTCTCCTGGGAAGCTTGCAGGCTTGACTGGCTCTCTGAAATGCCTGTATACCAATGCACGCAGCATGGGGAATAAACAGGAAGAGTTAGAGATCTGTGTGCGGTCGCAGGGCCATGATCTCATTGCAGTGACAAAGACATGGTGGGATAGTTCACATGACTGGGATGCTGTCATGGATGGCTATGTGCTTTTTAGGAAAGACGGGCCAGGAAGGCGAGGTGGTGGAGTTGCTCTTTATGTGAGGGAGCAGCTAGAACGTATGGAGCTCTGCCTCGGGGTGGATGAAGAGCAAGTTGAGAGCCTATGGGTAAGGATTAAAGGGCAGGGTAACATGGGTGACACTGTTGTGGGGGTCTACTACAGGCCACCTGACCAGGAGGAAGTCATCGATGAGGCCTTCTACAGACAGCTGGAAGTAGCCTCACGATCACAGGCCCTGGTTCTCATGGGAGACTTCAACCACCCTGACATCTGTTGGGAAGACAGCACAGCTAGGCACAAACAGTCAAAGAGGTTCCTGCAAAGCATTGATGATAACTTCTTGAC